GTGTAGTATATTCTTCATAAGTAAACCAACTACACACTAGAGTTTGAATTAATTTTACACTTAAACTAGCGTTTACCCGCGACTTCGTTCGCGTCGAATTAATAATTTGTAATGGTAATGATAAAGCAAAGCAAGAATTTCTATTAACATACAAACTGGATAAAATTTTCTCACATTTGCCAAAAATAAGCTGTAAACGTCGAGCAGTTTAAGCAGAATCGTGGTTAATCAATTACTCAACTTTTTGGAACACCCTGTATGATTTTTTAAAAATTTTCAAAATATGTAAAAAAACAAAATAAATTATGCGTGTCCAAGCGTTTTCCCGAAAGACTAACCGTTTTTTAAATAATAAATATTGTAATATTTGAGGAGCGTTTTCACCCTCTTGGAATTTGAGATTCGAGAAACCCCTCCTTATCGAACCTCAACCCCACAGTCAATCCGTTTACCAAAAATCAGCTTTAAACGTCAAGCAGTTTAAGCAGAATCGTGATTACTCAATGGTCATATTTTATGAAACACCCTGTATATATTTTTAAAAAATCTTAAAATATGTAAAACAACGAAATAAAATATACGTGTTTAAGAGTTTTTCCGAAAAACTCACCGGTTTTTAAATAAAAAATATTCTAATATTTGAGGGTGGTTTCACCCCCTTAGAATTCGAGTTTCGAAAAATCCCTTCTTATCGAACCTCTACACCCTAAAGAAAATCCGTTTTCCAAAAATCAGCTTTTTACGTCAATGGCTTTAAGCAGGATCGTGATTAATCAATGACCAGATTTTTCAAAACACCCTGTATACATTTTTAAAAAATCTTAAAATATTATTCTGAAAATTTTTCAGAATAAATAAATACCTAAATATTGAAACTTAATAACGTACTGAAACATACAGCGCCATAATATCTCGACCTCCACCCGTTATGCTCGTAACAGGTTGAAAAACAATGTATCTAAAACAACTGATGCGTTATTCTCCAACCTGTTTCGAACTTCCATCGACAATCGACCGATGCAGCAGCGTTCCTTTCCCACTCCGATTATCTCAACCGCCACCCTGATATGCTCGTAGTAGGTTGAAAAACAACGTATCTAAAATGACTGCTTCTCCAACCCGTTGCGAGCCTCCATCGACAATCGACCGATGCAGCAGCGTTCCTTTCCCACTCCTGTTATCTCGACCGGAAAAACATGCTTCTTTTATATCCTATTATTTTTAAGCTGTTGTAAGCCCAATACGACCGTCGACGGCATCGACCGAAGCAGCTACGTTCGCCGTAGCGCATTCCCCACTCCGTTGTCCGTTGTCTCGCCGCCTGTATAGATGGTTGACGAAATAACATGTTTTCCATCCATACTCCATACTAGTTGTTTTTTGGAATTGCTTCGAGCAGCATAGAATTTCGTGGTGGTGCAGAGCGCCGACTTCGTTTTTCGTTTCACGAGCGGCCGATCTCTACGTGTCGTTCTTTTATATCTGTTATTTTTTAGAAGTAGTAACGGTTGCGTTATGTTATTTCTAAATAATTGTTATAAAATAACAAATAGTTAAATAACAACCCATCACTATTCGATACCAATTAAAATTTTAGTTAGGTAATCGAGGGTGCGATTTTGAAATTCATTGTTGCCAACTATGGACATATTCGGCGCCGGGCTGACTAACTGAAATTTAAATTTCTAACTGGGGATTCAGGTGGTATGTCTGCTGTAAAAAATGTGAAATTGCCATATTTATTTATTTATTTCCTGACATTGTCATTCGTTTCAACACGTTACTTTTGTATTACGAGTTTTTGGTTCAAATAAATTGTGTTGTGATATTTTAAGCTTAAAAATGTTTATTAGCAGACCTTGCAGTCGGTTCTTTTTCGAACCTCTTTTAGTGCGAAGTGTACAAGATAGCTTAATAACCGTAAAAAACACATCTCAACTTTATGTCCTTTAAGCGCTGTTAGAAGGCGAGTTTTGTTGATGTAAATAATAACTGTTTATATATTTATAATTAATTTATTTTTTCCTAAAATATTATGATTAAAAGAAAATATGTAAAAATGGGCAACGCTGTGCCGGTCAAGCTTAATCACGCGACTAAAAGTTTATTTGATACGAACTATACAGGGTGGCGCCTTTCATATGCCGCGGAAGCTCCTAGGAGAACGGTAGTTTATATCGAAAAAAGTTTGGCAGTATATGTAGGTTAACTAAAAGCATTTTATAAAATTATATAGAATTATACAGGGTGTGCCCAAAAAAAGTTACACATTAAAGTTGTGTTTTTTTTAATCGGACACCTTATATATTAATTGATTTTCGGATTCTAGGAATAAACAAAGGTAAGTTTTATTAAAAAAGCATATACCTAAAATTTAAGGATTTTGACATATTTAACATTTTGTGAAAATGAAGAGTAAATTTTAAATTTCGGTAACAGCTACCTAAATTTTAGTTGACCTGGTATTGCCTGATATGTAATTACAGTAACCATTGTATGTTAAACCAAATTGAAATTTAACCCGAAAAGTTATACAGGGTGAGACAAAATTAATATAGAACATTAGTCACTTTTAAAAGCAAGTGACTCATTTATTTTAAATGGAACACCCAGTATATTATTCCGGTATTCACTGGGGAATTTATATATCTTCAAAATATTATTAAGGTTGCCTGCCCCTCAAACAAAGATTTTCCAAGATATTTTAATTTTTATGATTTTGCGTCAGTAGATCTTTATTATTTGAAAAAAATTCTAGGGTGGCTGTGTGATATACCTTTTGTCAATTAGAGTAAAATATTCAACGGTAATAAAAAGATACATGTTTAAAACATATTTTAATTATTACAGAATTAAAACTAGATATAAACCTATAATTATGAGATAAAAATTAGCTAGATGACATCAAATGCTCAAAATGCTTCCTTTCCTGTTAACTGCATAAAATGATTGTCTTTTCAAAAGGATCTTTTCATTTTAAAAGGCATTATGTGGAGTTCTACCTCGAAAAGCAGCTACAATAATTTCTCTCACGTTGTCGACAATAGTTGGTCGAGTTTTGTAAATACTGTCTTTAACATCCCCATAAAAAATGCAGACCAGATAAAATCAGGAGCATTTAAGTATATTCACCAACTGATAGAATCATATCAGTTCTCTCTGATGTAGGGTAAGTTTGCATTTTCGGCAAATTTCTGAGATTTTTTTTTGTTTTAACTGACACAAAATGATAACTAGTTGTTAAAGTTGGACTAATTAGAAAACTATGATGAAGTAATGCCAGACATATCACCAGCCACCTAGATTTTATCAAATAATAAAGATCTACACAGATCAAATCATGTAAATGCAAATATCTAGGAAAATCTTTGTTTGAGGGGTAGGCAATCTTAATAGTATTTTGAAGAGACATGAATTCTCCATTGAATATCGGAATAATATACTGGGTGTCTCATTTAAAATAAAAGAGGAACATGCTTTTAAAGGTGACCCAATGTTCAATATTAATTTTCTCTTACCCTGTATAACTTTTTGGATCAAGTTTTAATTTGATTTAAAATACAATAGTTAATTTAACTACATATTGAGCTATACCGGGTAAATTCCAATTTAGGTAGCTTTTATAGTAATATAAAAATTTTCTTAATTTTCAGAAAATATTAAATTTGTCAAAGACCTTACATTTTAGTCATATACTTCTTTTATAAAACTCACCTTTATTTTTCTCCCAGAATCCGAATATTAACTAATATATAGGGTGTTCCATTACAAAAAACACAACTTTGATATGTAACTCTTTTTGGGGATAGCCTGTAGAACTCTCTATATTTTTAAAAAAGTGCGAGTTAACGTACATATGCTCAAAAAATTTCATTTCAATACTAACAGTCGTTCTCCTTGGAGCCTTCGCGGTGTATGAGTGGCGCCACTCTGTATTATTTATATATCATATATTTTAGACAATATGATTTCCATTTTCGATATTAAGCTGTAAAAAATAATATGTTTACGAAAGCTTTCAACGTATACATTATATATCCCTTTTATCAATCCGGATCAGCATTTTTTTACAGAGCTTAATCTACATATGTATATGTGGTTTTATTCGATATTGGATATATTTCAGTGTGAAAAATAGGACGAGCATTTTTTACGCTAAAAAATAAAAAATAAAATAAAATGCTGGTGTTTTGCGCAATGAATACGACCACTCTAAATAGTTCACGCTTTTTTGTTTGTCGTGTGCACCATTTTCACAGATTTTTATTTGTCATAAAATGGGGAATATAAAAACAAAATATTTTTTTTGTATGCGGTTTTAATATATTTCGAGATCGATGATAAATTGATCTAAAGTATTTTTAATACGTTAGATATATCTACAATACGATTGAAAAAAAAAACGGCGTCAAGGAGAACTAAGGGATGACAATCGATAATAATTTTGGCGAGGTCAAGCCCTAGCCGTTTTTTACTGAGCCCCGTACTCTTCTTTATTCTTCAGTGGTGCTTACTGCCAGTTTGCCTTAAGGAGTACGTAATTTATTTTTATGTTGAGTAAAAATAATTTTTAAATGGTGTAGTTAAAAATTCTAGAAAAAAATATTTTTTTGGAAATAGATTTATGTATGTGCCTGGAAACGTTCTATCCTTTTTTAATCTTTCTATTAGTGTTAGTTTTTGACAAGTTTTATGTCGATTTTTAGCAAATGGCGTCTAAAGATTGACCGCGCCAAAATTATGTTCGAATATCATTCTCCTGCCGTTTTTGATCTGTTTTTTTTTGATCAGACGATATTAGTAATATCAATAATCAGCTGTTACTTATTATTAATTACTGCTAAAGATGTCAGCAATATACATAGCAAAGCTTGAACAGAAATAATATTTCTATGACTACCATGGCGTTTTTTTGTCATCACACTGCGCCGCGCCGGCGTCGATTTATGTTAGTTTTATACTACATTATGTTGATTTCTATCAATAATTTTGTTACTTACATTGGACATTGAGCAAAACTGATACATTCAACGGCTGTTCTAAAGCTATGTGCCTGATGAAACATGTTAAAGTTGCGTTGTGGTGAGCCCTCAACACTTTGGCCATGTGAGCATCGTTTCTAGCCCCAACCTAAACAGAATTATTTAAAGTTAATATTTAATATTGAGTGAAATTATTATTTTTAGATATAATTGGTATAAAATGACCAAAATGGGTATTTTTGCGACTTTTTTCCATATCATACAGTCATGAAAATTGCCAATTTTTGTCATGTCACCGATTTTATTAAAAATGTTGTTGTCTACTAATTAAAAGGTTTAAAATAAGAATAATAGACCATTGTAGTATTACGAGTTACAGATTCTCTTTAACAAAATACTTACAGACAAGAATATACCATCCGAATGGAAAGAAAGCATTTTGATACCAATTTTTAAAAAAGGAGTAAAGCAGATCCACGAAACTATCGGGGTATCAGTTTGATTAGTGCCGTACAAAAACTGTTTACTAAAATTTTAGCAGAAGTAATGTCAACCGGAATTTTTGAAGAACGACAAGGATTTAGAAATAACCGGTCTGCAATAGATGCCATATCATCCGCCAAATAACCGAAAAAGCCATAGAGTTTAATAAGACAGCTTTTATGTGCTTCGTTGATTTTACCGAGGCATTCGATAGAGTCCATTTAACTGATGTCATAAACCTACTGCAAAAAGGAGAATTCAGTCGAATATTATAAAAGTTATCGAAGAGTTGAATACCGAAAACTACACATATGTAAGAGTGGCCAATAAACGATAGCCAATAAAGAAAAATAGCTGTGAAAACCGGATTCAGACAAGGAGATAGCTTAAGCCCAACCCTGTTCAACATCGTAATGGACGAAATCATAAATGAAGTACAGCAAGCTTGGAGAGGATATCGACTGGGAGATAAAGAAATAAAAATAATATGTTATGCTGACGATGCAGTACTCATATCTGAAGACGAAGATAACTTACAAAAGCTTCTATATAAGTTCCAACAAACGGCAAAACTATTTAACATGCAAATATCCGTGAAAAATAAATCCTTACAATATCTAGAGAGCCTAAAAGATGCAAACTCGCAATCTATGATCAGAGTGTAGAACAAGTGATGTCATTTAAATATCTAGGGGCAAATATAACAAGCACTAGGAATCTCAAAGAGGAAGTAAATACCAAACAACAAAGGCATCATTAATATCAGTATATTTAAGGGATATAATTTGGCGAAATAAATATAGGAGTGTCAGAAGCAAAGTTAGAATTTTTAAGGCTTGCGTGAGACCGGTTATGACATATGCGATAGAGACTAGAGCAGAGACTAAGAACAACAGAAATGCAAACACTTAGATCAATTACAGGATATATCTTATATGACCGGAAAAGAAGTGAGGATATAAGAGAAACATGCAATGTACAGGATGTAGTTCAGTCATTGGGGATTTTTGCTTGGAAAAAGTCCGGAAGTTTTGCAACTTTGCAGGTTTATAGGTTTTGGGGTCCCTAACTAAAATCCATAAAATGCACATTTCCAGACAAAATCGCCAATACCAAAATCGGTATTTTGTGAATATCTCGAAAACTATGCGTTTTTCGCAAAAATTTGAGGAGAGAAAAATTAAAGAGAATAAAATTTCCTATAAAAAAGGGTTCACGAAAATTTTCGCTAAAGTCAACCGTTTAGGTACAAAATCCCTGGAAATTTTACAATTTTGCGTAAAATATGATATATTATGTATAGTCGATTTCCCGAAATCAAATGTCGATTAGGGTTCACTGAAACTAGTTTTAGTTTAGTTTCTTTAATTTTGTCATAAAACAGTGGCGTATCATTAGTTCGCTCATTAATTTATGAATAATTAATTTTGATTATTGACAATGTGTACTTGTTTCCACACCACCCAAGAGGTAAAGTATATGGCGCGTTTATTTTAACGTGGTCTCCCCGGAGGCCTACTCCACTACATAAATTTAAAACTTTAACTTATCTGCACAAGCCCGACGGATCGGCCTCATTGATGTCAAAGTCGATGTCTGCTGTGCTGGGCTCATCAGGGTGGTCTCTCAATACGTCCAACTCTTCATCTTCACCCGCCAGAGGGATATCTACAGGCAAGTCCAACTCCTCTTCATCGGATTCGTCGAGTGACACTTCAGTGACGTTGTCACAGGATTTTCTATTGCAGTATGCACAAATCATTGAACATTTTAATCCTGCTCTTCTGCATCCGCAGGCTTTACCATAGTTGTTGGTTTTGCATTTACAGGATAAAAATGCCAACAGGGATTTTGGAGCTGGATCTTTCAACGTTGTGACTGGAGTAATGCCTGTTATTGTTTTCTTCTAACCCCATTCTTCTGCATCTTTGGTACAACCAGACCAATGCTAAACCTGGTGGTAAGTTCGCAATGAAGTCTGTCCAGAACGACAATTAATTATTCATAAATTAATGAGCGAATTAATGATACGCCACTGTTTCATGACAAAATTGAAGAAACTAAACTAAAACTAGTTTTAGTGAACCCTAATCGACATTTGATTTCGGAAAATCGACTATACATAAGGTTTGTTCTCACAGCGTGTTCCCAACATGTTAGTGACTTCTTCCAAACCGGTGTTAATGCGCAGGTCTCAAATAATGCAGTTTCTGATCGATTTCAAACTGTCTGTGAGAACAGCAAATCCCCTACTCTTCTTTTTTGATGTAATAATACAACTAATTTTAACTCTTACGTAATACCGAATAAAGAAGAAAACGAAGAGGGAATTAACCAAAGACATCTTTTAATGTTTTTGGTTTTGTTCTTTTTAATGTTTTAATGTTTAGTAATTTTGATTCTTGGGCCTGACCTGTTCCTCCATCAGCTCTTCTAGGTTTGTGTCTGTATCCGAAAATTCGGACGCCTCAGATTCTTCGGAAGATTCAAAATCGCTCATTTCTTTTCTTTATTTTTTGAAGAAAAAAACACAAAACAAAAACAACACACGTTTTGTAGGTTCAGTTTATCAAGTAATGACGTTGGGTCGCAATACGCATGCGACGGACACTTTACTTGCAAAAGATCCGCAAACAGGTCTGACTGTCAGATAACAATCAGAATTTTCTGTGTAAACAGCGTACTGTTGGTTGCAAACTAATCAAAAATTTCTGTGGGAACGCGTTTTACCCTATTGCGCATAATTATCTGTTGGAAATATGTTTCTTACAGTTGTGAGAACAAACCTATAATATATCATATTTTACGCAAAACTGTAAAATTTCCAGGGATTTTGTGCCTAAACGGTTGACTTTAGCGAACATTTTCATAAAACCTTTTTTATAGGAAATTTTATTCTCTTTAATTTTGCTCTCCTCAAATTTTCGCGAAAAACGCATAGTTTTCGAGATATTCATAAAATACCGATTTTGGGCGCCATCATGGCAAGGTGGCGACGCCGGCGGCAAGTCTGGAAATGTGCATTTTATGGATTTTAGTTAGGGACCCCAAAACCTATAAACCTGCAAAGTTTCAAAACTTCCGGACTTTTTTCCAAGCAGGCCCCTTTTTTGATCCCCAATGACTGAACTAATGTAGTAAAATGGGCAAGAAACAAGAGAAGAGAGTGGAGAGACCATGTGGACAGGATGCCAAATGACCGGTTAGCGAAAATTGCTAAGGAGAAAAGAACCAACTTGCCTGGACCGCCGCGCCGGCGCCGCGACGACTACCTATAAGATAGTATGAAAGCTGGTCTTCATCATCCCAACTGTTCTTAGGAAACCATTGAAGAAAACTCAGGACTTGGTCCTAACGTACGAAGAAGAAGTAGTCTTACGAGAGCAGTAATGGATGTAGGTGACGTTTTAACCTTCATCAAAAATAACCAGAGTCCAAAAAATAAATTTTCTTACAAAATAAAAATAACTCAGCCTTCAAGTGTGTATAATGTTCTGAATCTAAATAAAATTTGCTACAAAGTTTAAAATTTTCATAATTTTATCAAGTTTTAATATCATTATTTTTAATAATAATTATTAATATTAATTCTTTTTTATGCTAAATACCTTCTGATCCACTGCTGTTTCTGTCAAATTGAGCACTTCCAGTGGTACTTCCGGAGCGTCCAAGAGCGCCAACGACCCGAGACTCAGCTCCCAACTTAAGGAAGGTTTAGGATTGCCCTCGTCGACAACGCAGGACACTGTAAGATCGGCGTTTTCCTTTACAGGAATGAAGGGATTTCCCGGATCTAGGATCCTGTTGTCGATCATTAGATAGGCCTTTTTTGGGGCATCTGAAATAAAAAAAGAGGAATATTTAAATGAAAGTCATAGGCAAAAAAATTGAGTTATGATTCACAATACGATTTGGACATCTTTTAACCGGCCAGGACAATAGACGAAAAACATTTTAATTTTATTAAAAATTACGGTTTTTAACACAGCTATGCCATTCTATTTCTCCGCAATCATATTGTTTTTGAATTGTAACACATTTCAAGTTCAATGTAATATGTTTTTAAGAAACGTTATATTTGGACGTTTATGTGTACATGCGCACACCACCACTTATTAAAGAAACTGTTTGCGAACGAAAATATGCGATTTTTTGTCGCATATGCCAATATTTTTGTAGACCTTTTTAGGGTCGTCTAAATAAAAATAATGATTGAAAGAAAATAACGACGAAGATTTGCCTCAATTCCAATCCATTATTCCATTTTATTCATTTTTTGTCTGTGTTTCTCGTTAAAACAAACAAAATTTGAATCAATTACAGAGACCATAAAAGAGAAAAAAAGCCAGTATAAAGCATTTTGTGGCGGCCGAAAAGAAAAAATCCCCTTAGGAAACGGAAAGCTTAAAGAAAAAAGCTTAAAAAAAGCCTTGTAAGTTTTTTCCTGCTTCGAAAAGTTATGAATATGTATTTCGTTCTGTGGGCGTTCGAGGTTAAGATATTTTTTGATGTAAAGCTACTGTTAAAAGCTTAGTTAGTCTTCATTTTTTCATTTTACTGTGAATAATAAACGGTTCTTTTGGCAAAGATCAAAATTTTATTACAAGAAAATATCTGGTGAAAAATTATTGCATTGTAGATACAAGTAGTTATGTATGGTTGATTATAATACAAACCAAAAAAGTGTATATGCACTATGTGCGCATATTTGAAGTACAAGAGGAAAAACATTTTTATTATTGACATTTTGAGAAAAATGCATCCTTCGTAAAATTTTTTGCTTGTTTTAAAATTGTTAATTCCGTTTATGCTTATACTAAATTTCATACAATACGTTACAGCAATTACAGAAAATGCTGAACACATATACCTGGGCATACGAAACTTTGGGCCTTAAACTGAACATCGATAAAACAAAAATCATGTGCACTCCCCCGGAAAATCATAACTGCGCTATAAAAATCGGAACTATTGGAATATGTATCGGAATTTAATTACCTCGGCAGTTTGATTTCGGAAAAGGCAAATATCGATTCTGAAATTCAGCACAGAATCAGCAGCACCTCAAGAGCATTCTGGAAATTAAAAGACAGGGTTTTCTACAATCATGACTTGAGCACAAAAACAAAACTGGCAGTGTATCGAGCAGTAATAATCCCCAGCATGGTATATGGAAGCGAAACCTGGATGCCGTACCGCCGGCACACGAGCGCATTAAAGGTCTGTTCCCAGAAGAATCCCTGACTAGTCAGCACGTTTCTCATTGGTTAAAATGCGTAGAAACCTGATTGTTAGTCAGGTTTCTACACTTTTCAACCAATAAGAAACGCGCTGACTAGTCAGAGATTCTTGTGGGAATAGAGCTTAAACAAGTTGCAACAGAGATACCTTAGACAACTTTTAAGAATCAAATGGTACCACCATGTCTCAAACGTATCAGTCCTTAAAAAAGCAAGCTGCGAGAGCGCTGAAGTCATGATTACTAAATCTCGCTTAAGATGGGCTGGCCACGTATGCAGGTAATACTAAATTTCCGTACTGTTTTAGAGAAAAAAATTATAGTTGAGTTTATAGTGAAGTCCTAAAATCAAAACGCGTTTTTATGGTAATATAATTTCGTTTCCATTCTTTGATACATTTTTATTTATAGAATTTTAATTAACGTTATATTTTTTCCTGTTTTAAAATGTTAAAGAAGCACAACATATATTTAGTTCAATGCAACGAAAAGGGCGATAATAGTTATAAGAAAATGTGTTACTTATATGACATTAATCAAAATTCAATTACCATAGAAGAGACTTCTGATTTTTAGGACTTTGAAAAGAATCAACGATATTTTAATGTTTTTTTTCATTTTCCCTAAAACGGTATGGAAATTTAAAGAAGTAAAAAGCTGGATTCACCATTTTAGAAAAAACGAAATTTTTTATGAAGAATGCATTTTTCTCAAAATGTGAATAATAAAAAAGTTTTTCCTCTTGTAAAGACAATCCGCGGACATACTGTATATACTACTTGAAAAAAAATTAATTAAATAAAAAAAAATGGAAAAAGTAATCGGCCCACTCCAGGAATAGTGGAATAATTGTAGAATTGATCGAAGTTTCTTATGAAAAAAAATTAAAATGCCAAACTTCTAAAATGCCGATCTAAATAACCAAACCTTCAAAATTTTTTTTATTTTTTTCGAAAAACTATATTTAAAAACAAAAATTTTCTATGTGGTTCGGTCCCAGAATGTAAATTTTTGAAAAAGTTATGGTTATTTTAAAAAAAGGAAAGCCTTTTTCAAAAAGCAAGTTGACTGTTTTGATTATATACCTACATGTTTGTATTTTGTATCTAATGGCAATTTTCTTAATACTTTGGTTGGGCGCTGAACTCCAGTAAGGTTCTTCTAGACAAAAAGAGTATACTCTAGTAGTACTTTATAGTAATATTACAAGAAGTTGGCGATTTTAGAAGATAAATTGACAACGAATAAGTAAATTTCATAGATTTAGTAAGAACAGATATCACATTAGACATTTTAACCCGATCAAACAATCGGAGGTTGACTATGTACTGTAAAAACCAACTGAGATAGAGAAGGCGACATTGCCGCATCTCAAATTTGCGCCTATCTACTCAGTTTGATTTGCAGAAAAAGGTGACTTTAAAACCTTTACCGGATATCAATAAATCTCAATTTCTTAATTAAATTAATAGTTTATTTTTAAAGAAGCATGCGTAATAATATGTTATTAACCAGAGGATATATGCGTTACTATTAAACGACATGTTTACTGTTTAATGTGCTGAAACGTCTAGAACTATTGGCAACGTCGCTGCTAGTCTTCCAGAATGAAATGAGCCGTCCGTCCCACCACCCCTCGCGACGGCCCTTGGTCCGTTATAGCGTACTCCGTTTAGCTTGCGGTGTGTTTGAAGTCGGAATCATGACGAAAGTGAACTTTCAGTGTTTTTCGGTGGTTTTTGTTTTTGTTTAACGTACTTTTGAATCTGCGAATTCAGTATGGTACGACAGTGTCAAGTGTGTGGAAAAATAAGCTCAAATTACCCGAATTTGTCTTTTCACAGGCGGGAATTGTTTTCGTCATTGTACATAGGCGTCCCACAAGGGAGCCTCTCACAATCAAAATAATTTCTAATTATATTTGTAATTAATCTATTAAAACAAGAACGTAGTAGCCAGTAATTGAATTATAATTCGTCTCAATGACTACCTAACTGTTGTAGATCATAACAAATTTGAATATAAACGTTGCATTTGAAATTTTATTATAAGCCAGAAAGTGACATTTTTTTCTTAAAATTGTCATTTCTGGTCATTATATACGATATTCTAAAGGAATTTTAGTTTTAATTAAATAAATATGGCTCAAAATATGGATTCCACCTCTTCCAATACTAAAGAACCTATAAAGAGTCTTAGGTTTACAGCAGATGACGACTTAGCCCTTCTAAGAGAATTTGTTGTTTGTTGCCCTAAACCCATTGGCAGACGTTGAACAATAAAGCACTGGAAATAAGCACTTTAGCCCTTTAGTTTTAAAATACCTAGTAAACAAAAACAATTTCAAAGTTTTAAATTCAAAATTAAGTTAAGGTTAAATAGCGTAGGCGACGCGATCAGAATTCTTTCCGATCCGATAACTATAAATGAAGAGAGTTAATACCACCTCACGTAAAGGAAATAACACCTGGCCTTATTAACGTCCATGTACGCTATTCGGTTTAGCGATATCTCTCTATTACGCTTTCTATTGTTATTTTACGCGAGTTTATTTTTGCGCACAGAAAATTTGACTCGCTTGCACATCGTCATAAAAAACAATTTTCGTACCACGAATTAGGGACAAGATTTTTATCTGTATACTTATAGGATACCTAATCTGTGTTTGTACGGTGTGTTTACCTTTTTTTTAGAATGGGACGAACTGTAAATAATTCTTAGGCTACTAGTTTTATACATACCTATATACAGAGTGACCCAGGCCTCCAAAAAAGACAGGACAGGTGGCAACCCTAGGTATTTCTGGAATGGAAATATAATGGCAAATCTACAACTTTAGTTTGAAAATATGTTCTGGTCACCTATATTTACAAAAATGTCTAAAATGTGCTTTACCATTGCCTCCATATTCTGAAAAAAAATTGAAAGAAATGTCACCAACCACAAACCTAATATAGAACTGTTTCGGAAGCCTGAGTCACCCTGTGAATATTCAAAAGTAACTGAAAGTTTATATAGAAGTAACTGAAAGTTTAAATTGAAAATCGACGTTGAAGCGATTTTCGAAAACCACCTACTAACGTTTCAACATAGGTATATGTGGGATATTAATTATATTATTATATTAGACCTTATAACAAAACTCATCTGACGAAAAAGTGTTAATGTAGTATATTAATATGGAGTATAAATTTTACTAATTAATTTACTTTTACTTTACTAATTAAATGCTTTCCAAAAAACGATACGCCACTGGCCATTAGAACAATCGAAATGCTCCTAGTTGCCGGGGTCGGAAATTTTAGACTTCTCTGTCTTTTCTGTTCTTGTTTGACACATTGGAATGTTTGATACACTACCAACGAGTATTTATGAATGAGATGTTCGGTCTATCTTTATAATGTCTTTGGTAAATTTACTATATGAGATACACAGTTTTTAAATAAATTCACAAAGAATATTGGTGTGAATTATAACATATTTACACACATACCCACAAAACATCCCCCCATTAGAACTTTTTCTTTAATGGCCATAAGTGGGAGTAAAATACCAACCGCCCGAACAAACACTAGAGGCGCCACCGGTCATCAAATGGT